GCACTCCAGTCTGGGCGACAGAGTGAGACTCCAACTCAAAAAACAAAACAAAACAAAAAGGCAAATTTATTTTTGTCCAGATGGAAGGTATATGTTAATATGGATTACAAATGAAACATAAAAGCTGGTCAAAACCCTGGGTAGAATGGGTCAAGTGCAGCATTCTTGTTAATATTTCTTGGGAATCAGATTTGAATTGATTTACACACATATTTGAGAACTGCTTTGGGCATTGCTGCTGTGATCAAGGGGGTGAGAGAAGTGGGGGGAAGAAAGAGAGAGAGAGAGAGAGACAGAGAGAGAGAGAGAGAAAGAGAAAGGGGCACCATTATCTGAGCACGATGAATCAGAAGGGAAAGGAGAAAAAGATGGGAGGAAGGAATAAAAATGGCAACCAGTAATTACTTGACTACCCAACCCAGACCCAATTTTGGTTAAAGAGGTGATCTAATAGCTGAGGAAAAGTTTGCCCATTTAATGCATCTCAATGAAAGCAAAACCTTAGAATATGTCAAAAAATGGAATAAAACTCTTTATAATTTTTTTGCTTTTCCTTCTTGTGGAATATCTCCTCCCCATTTCCATAAAACACAACTCAGATTTAATGTTCTGGAGCAAATGTTTTTTTAACAGGCTTGACCTGCTTAATTTTTCTGACAATGTGTGCAGTTATGTTAGAAACTTACATACTCCTGGGAAGGGATATGAGACACCAGCAAACCAAAACGTCCAGAGGGGCAGGTATATATTACAGTGCTAATCTTTTTCTTTTTTCACGATTGTGTGTGTGTGTGTGTGTGTGTGTGTGTATGCACTGTCATAACATGTGGCTACTGTGTTCTGATCTGTAAGAGCCAATGTTAGCTTTTAACTATTATTCCTCCTTTTACTCTTTTAGGAGTATTCTATCTATACCTTTTTGAAAACACCTTGGTCAGGTGCGGTGGCTCACTCCTGTAATCCCAGCACTTTGGGAGGCTGAGGCAAGAGGATTGCCTGAGCCTACCGCAACTTGGGGAGACCTAGTCTCTACAATAAATAAAAAATTAGCTGACCGTGGTGGTGCACATCTGTGGTTCCTGCGACTTGGAAGGCTGAGGTGGATCATCTGAACCCAGCAGGTCGAGGCTGCGGTGGCTATGAGCATGCCACTGCACTCCAGCCTGGGCGACCATAAGACTCCGACTCAAAACAAACAAACAAACAAAAACCCAAACACGAACAACAGCAGCAAAGCAACTCCTTTATGGAAGGCTGGAGCATTTCCAAAAGTACCCTTCAACTAACACCGGGGGGGGGGGGGGGGGGGGGGGGGGCGGTGCCCCTTTGAGATTTGGTTTCTGCAGTACACACATTCACCTTGGTAATCAAGGACATAATGCTGAATTGAAGACATCCAAAAACAAGCCAGAAGAAATGAGCTCCAGGCTGTTCGAGGAGGAAGGGGGCCTCCCCTAATGAAATAACTAAGGATGCCCCAATCAGGAGGGAATGTGTTAAGTGTTAAACCTATGTCTTTGCTCCTGGAAGCCACCTTGAAAAGGGGTGCGGGTTTGCTCTAAATTCGCAGTTATGTTTGCAGCCTGGAGAGAAGGGAAGAAACCCTGGGGTCATACAGCTCCAAACCGGAGGCGTTATCCTCTTAACCAACTTTCTCTCCTCTTCTCAACGCAGAGGGCCGATCCACAGCTCCTTTCCCCCACCCGCGTCCCCACGCTCCGCCAGCAACCTGCGCGTCTCCTTTAAGAGGCAGGGGCCGTCCCTCCCTTGCTCCTCCCAGTCCCCCGCCCTTCACACCTTGGGTGGGAAAAGAGAGTGGGGGCGGGGTGGTTGGCGAGCGGTAGGGGCGGGATCGCGGCGAGCGCCCCAATGGCCTCCGAGGCTGGCCACCGTGGAGCCCGGCAGCCAATGAGCG